AATTTGTGTTTTAAAACACTTACATTCAGGAAGCAAACTTTCGTCCCTACTGAAAATATTTTCCTACAATCTGTGTATCTGGTTGACTCGAGGTGCACTTTCAACACTGACCTAAACGTTTTTACCTTTACAAGAAGAAAGATTTAAAAATACAATCTAAAAGTACGAGAACAGCTGTTATACGCTACTTGAAAAACTCAGTAAAGAGCCTACGTGGTTGGGCAACAGGGGAGACTTCTCGTAGTCCCAAGAAGGTCACCGCGCGTAATTTTGCTGCCATATCTTTTTCAGCAAGAAACATTATTTAAAACGGATTAGAAATAAAATCTATGAACAAGGCAAGAAAGTTCAGGATATAACAGAATGAACGTGGTAAGTTTACCAGATGCTATCAGTGTGTGGTCCAATTCAAATTCATTGGAGCGACTTGCTCATTTTTCTTCTCTTATACCTATTTTTCTGTTTTCTTTTCTATAAAGCTCCCTGTGTTCAACGACTTAGTCGTCACCTCTCAAGGAAACAAAAAATCTTTGCTGTATATGTAATTTGACGTTTTCTTACAACTCGAATTTTCTAATTTTGGTAACCAGCTACTTGCGTGTCCAAGATTCTGCGCTAGGTAATGTTTAGCTGGTAAGGGGGCACATTGTTCGTAATTCCTTTGTTTCTTTGCAACTGTAAAGCTCCACGAATATTTGAACACTCTAAACTTTACTCGCGCAGTTGGTGGAACTTGGTTGAAATTAGCACGTTGACAAGAGTCCAGCTGTCGTCAGGTTATACGGGAATCGGGGCAGCTCGTGAGCTAAAAATACACGATGGCAAAACTGGTAGGTTTCTAAGTGGAGTATCTTGATCTGTCTTTGTGCGACTGGCACTTGAACAGAATGTGGTTTTAAAGACTGATTTCATGTCTTAAAGCGATAGAGGATCTTACGAGTTCCAGTAGTTGCGTAAGAGCGTGACCTACAGAACTATAATGCGGGATAAGTTCAGAGAAAACGATAAAAATAACCCGCCGCATGCAAAAAGTATTTAGCACATGATTACATCATCTCATAAAGCAACTTAACATTTTAGGATCACTGATAACTGCCATGTGATGAATCATTTGTAGAAGAGACAACTAATTCAAGCCGTAAAACCATCACTATGGACCGACTCAGGATGTCTAGCGACTCTAAATGCAGAAATCAAGTTTCGGTAAAGGATTACTAGACGTCTTATGCATTAACTCTTCAGTTAACATCCATAAGACAGCTTACATAGCCTATAACTCACCGGAGAAGTCATCTAGTAGGTGTAAGCTCCGGCTCGTGACGATTTTCTGACTTTGGAGGTCAGATCTCTGATGTAGATGACTATTGCGGTAGGTGATTTGAGTGTATATCCTCTAAGTCCGAACAGCAACAGTACGGGGTTCTAGAATTCTCCCACAGCTCGGCTGCATCTCCATCCAGCTGAGATACCACTCTGTTCTGCTGTTGGATGTTTTTGTGACTCATTCGAAAGAAGAGGAATAATTTTCTGTGTTTTAATGAAGTAAAGGCATCAGGTCAGTTTTCACGTTTATCTCATGTAGGAAATAGGGCTGCTAGCTTGGTGTTGCCATCGAAAATGCGAAAAAAATTGTGAACCAAGCAATGTTATCTGATTTACGGCCATTCAAAGATGACGAAGTTCTAAGATATTCCTCAAATAATGGATGAAAATTGAGTTCACTCGAGCACTACTTGTACTGACAAGAGAACTGTGTACCAAACCGGCCATCATGAAATCGCTCTGCTTGTCTTCCCACTGGAGAGAGGTGAAGCAAAGAGAAATGAACTCTAGTAAGATAGGGCGAGACAAATCATGTTTAAACCGTTTCGCTTAGTAAGCTTTCTTTTATCTTCAGCTTTCTGATTAGTTCATCGAAAACGGCCGATTCTTTAATCCCCCTTTCTTAAAATCCCCAAAAGTCAAACTACTTTGACAGTTGGATTTTGATTGAAACGTAATTTTAAGACTGTAAGAGGAACGAGATGACCTAAACTTAATATTTCCTTGTCTTTAACTGAAACAAGGTTGTCATGCCAGACTGGCATATCGTTCCTAACGATCTCCATGACCAAGTTTGAATACCTTTGACATTTGGGTCTGAGCTTTAGTTAGAGTGCGTACTAGATCTACGGCTAGCGTTAGATCCGATCTTTCCATTTACAAATATCACTGAGAGGCTGTATAAATGCAATTATGTTTCCAAATATGGCACTTTGAATAAATACAAAAAAATTCTCTCTTTTGATAATTTTGTTTTTTTCTTTTTTTTTTCGGGAAAACACATGAAAGTTTCTATTCACAGTTGCCCGTGTTTATAGTAAGCGATTGATTTTATGGATCACTTAGTTTAGCTCTGATTTGTCCCTCCGAGTTTGTTCCAATGTTAGCTCGTTTATGTCTAAAAGAACAAAAAGAATACAATTTACACAGTCGGGGTTTAGTTATTCATGTCCACAGAGGTAATACCAAGCATGTTATGTATGCGGCCTAACAAGGTTCCTTTATTAGTTACCCCACATTTACTCGAGTTAAGTCTCCTACAAAACAGAGTTAAAGAAAAATGGTGGCACGAACTGAAGTCCGATCTATGTGTTCGGCTTTGAGATTTGGGAAATCTTGCAGGGAAGTTTGTATATGATGTGCGTGCATCTTGGACAAGGCTTTCATTCCGAATTGAATAAATAAAATAATAACAATACCAGCTGTTTAGTCAGGCAAAATTTTGAATGTCACAATTACCGAGTGATTATCCTTGTAAAAGAAGTAGTTTCGTGTCGTAGCCACGTGTTACTCACCCTATTTACTTATTCTCAGAAAAACAGCTTCAGTAGAATGCAGACTGTGAGGGCATCAAGTTACCGTACTCTTGAGTCGGAGGAACCAAAGTCTGCGGTTACTCCGTTACTTTCTGTTGGAAAATCTTGGAAAAATCCTTCGTTGATGTCAAGTGCTATAACTTAAAAGAGATTGTTGTAACGCTTGTTGACGGCAGGTTTTCTCGCACGTGTGTGTCAGTTGCAAACGAAGATTAGAGTCTTTTCTAGTGACGTCATCGATGACATCTTGTGAATCTAATGTTAGTAAGTTCAGTGACATAATGAGAATGAACATATATAATCACGTACTTTCCTTCGTTTTTCCTCAGATCTGTTGCAGCATTTAAGCTCTGCAAAATCTAAGACGATATTTTGTAGCATTCGCTAACTACGTCCCAGAAAGATGGAGGAAGGAGCCCGGAGGATACCCACTTAAAAAATCACGTGGTGCTCGCCAGAAATTAGGAAAAAGAAAATTGTTCTGAAAGAATCTCTTTTCGAAGGTAAGGGTGGCTCAAATTCATTTATTCTCCTGTTCAGCTCGAAAGCAAAGCATTTGTGGAAAGTAATTGATTGCAAAAAAAAACTGAGTTATTTGCAAATAAAATAAGATTACACTTCCGTAACTACGGCAAAATGGAACAAGGAGTCTGAATGAAGTGGGTGAATGAGTTGTAAAAAACGTTTTCTTGTAACTAATGTTAAGTCAGAAGTAGGAAATCAGAAGTCAGAATTGGATAGTGAAAAGTAGGAACTGGGAACTGGGAGTGGGATCGAAATTGAAAGGACATTATTTCGCAGGGTCTCCTCGAAATGTTGAATAAATCAATTCTAAAATTGTCATGGCATATTAATTATGGGAATGCGTCGCTCGTCACATTCAAACATTTCTTCAGTTTTTCCAGAGTCCATCAATATGAACTCCCTGTTCAACAAATTATCATTTCATCCTTTCAGTTGATGGCTATAAATTGAGTTGCTCTTTTTTCTTCTGTATCTTTCGTAATGGTCGAGGCACTCTTCAAGAACAAGTCTAGTCATGTCCTCCTGTTGCATGACACACAGGCACTCCAAAAAATTTTGACGGCGGAGACATTCGATCCTCCGGAAATGTGAGGAATGTATCGCAGTACCAGTCTTAACGCGGTTTGTGAGGTTTACGTTTCGCGAAAGCGATTGCTTATTAGCTAAAGCGCGTAAACTATTATCGTTTTAGGGAAAAATACGATAAGAACTATATCGTTGTTCATGTTTGAGGATAGCTATGCCGTTTGGCATATGTACAAAACCTTTAAAAGATGATTTGATAAAGTATCTTCCAATACTTGTCGAAACACCAGACAAATCTTGCATAGAAGTGACGCTGTCGAAAGACGCCATAGGGCTAGAGTGTTTGGAGAGTGTGACGAAGGAACTTGGTCTACACGAGGTAAGTCCTAGCTTTAGATTTACACTCTTATGGCGGTTCCGCTGTGGCTGAGTGTCTTCGATGTTAGTTGGACACTCTTTGGTACTTTGCTGTAGCTAGAGCACACTTAAATTATTTTGATTTGTGTTCAGAATATCTTCAACTCAGGCATTTCCATGTTGTTGTACTTTTGCATGTGCCTGGATTTAAGATTTCTCTTGTGTAGTGGATGAAAGTGTTGAGTGAATTTTCTGGTTTTTTTTCCGTTTACTGCTATATAAGCGGGATACTTTGCATTATATGTATTTAACTGAACAGATGATTAATCAAGCATTTATCGAACATCGGTCAAGATATTTTTACTGTATGTTAAATTTTGCGCTGCATCGATCAAACCTCAATTATTAAGGAAGCGAAAGCACTTGAAAAAAGAGCGAGGTCAACATTCTACACCACGTTGACCTGTCTTACTTTTATTTGTGGGGTTTACCACCATTTATTTGTAACTATACTTAGTTTAGACGGACAACAAATTAATGAAAGAGAGGTCACTTGATAAAGAGATCACCTGCAGCTTAAGATGCCAAATAAATAAAACAAGACATTAAAGCGGTAATTGTGGGAGTTAAAGTATTTAAATAATGGACTTGAAATGAATCTAGAATTAAGGATCAATATAACATAATGCATCAAGTGGAAAATTTCAGAATTCTGTAAATCTGTTGTGCTAAGAGTGCACCAACAAATGAAAGTAGACCAATAATAACTCTTAGTTTTAATGAAAGCTTATCATTGACCAAATTGAAATTTCGAAATTGAATGGCTTCTTGGAGGAAAATAACTAGTACATGTGCAAGTTAGGTTTGTTTTCTTTTTCCCTCTGCTTCTAATGTCTACTAGTTTGGTGTGCTGTCGCTAGCTCAAAATTGCAGTAGGTGAGCTTTGAGTATTGATTTTTAATTTATTTTCAGGAAGTAAAGTAATTTTTACACTATAAGATGCAATTGATGAGTCTAACAGCTTTCATGATGTTGAATGAGAGCAATCTGATTTATTATATTTTTGGTTTCACAGCAGGGTTGTCTGACTTAACCTTGGCCTTGTATGAATGCTGGAGTAAACCTGAGCCCTGGGTTTGAAATAACCACTATGGCTTTAATTTGAAGGCTTGGCATTGATAGAAGTTGCAGCCTTTATTTGCATTTGAATTAAGATGCAATTTGTTTATTTGATACATTAAAATGATGGAAGGAAAAGAAAAAAAAATGAAACTTATAATCCAGTTATCCCCATGGGTCCTAATGGTGATAATTTATAAAAAATAGATCTGGAAACTTGTGTATTGCCAGCCTTGTGTAGATGTCAGGTTCTGTGGGGTCAAGTTTGAAATAAGTTTGAAAAGTGTTTAATTAAGAAAAGGTGGTACTTGTCGCGAATTATTGCTTTATTTTTCTTAGCGGTTTGGAAGTGTAAGTGGTGTTACTCTGTAAGGACATTTCATTGAACTGTGCTTTACCAAGTGAAGGACAAAAGGTCAAGGTAGCTTACAAATTATGATAAACTTAAACAGGGCGTGAAATTAATTTTTTTTTCTGTTAGCCACTTGGCTCCTAAATTCTTCAAAGTGGTAGCCAATTCAAAAAAAGTTGGTCGCCATTTTCAAAGACAAACAAAACCTTTTTTTTTATGCTGTCAACGTTCTAGATAAACCCTCCAAATTTAATTTAGGGAAAAGATCTAACGTTCTGAAAAGTAGACACTAGGATGGATGATATACAACTTTCAAGCTCAGCTAAATCCAAGATGGCGTCTAGTTATCGATTGAGATGCGTGTGCTGAGTTTTGGAAACAAACTTAACGAGGAAGTTTGCCACGGATTTATCTTTGCAAATCTTTTTGATTCACTATGTCTCTCGGTATGGTTGTGATGAAACATTCTAGTCGCCAATTTGGCTACTAATTCTCAAGATTTGGTCGCCAAAGTGAAAAATTTAGTCGCATTGGCACCTGTATTAGGCACAATTTCATGCCCTGTTAAAGACTAAAACTTGAATTGTTTACAGGGATGTGTAAATTTTTCCTCATTGAACCTCTAGACTGATGCTAATTGGGCCTACTTAGCACTGTGCTATGATGCAGAAAGGTTGTAAAATTAGTATTCACTGAAAAAGGGTGATAAAGGTTCAGCCATTGTAAGTAATTGCCATTTTGTTATAGGAGGAATGAAGGATAGTTAGTTACATGGACTATTAATATCTAATCACAGCCAAAAGCAACAGGGAAATTAGATTATAGTAGTGGAAAGACATAAAGATTTGTTACATATCATCTTGTGCAATTCCAGATGGTAAAAAAAGATGTGATGTTTTTGCTAACCCTTTGGGAATGACTGAATGACTCTTCACTTTTTACGTAGAGTTTTTACTTTACATCAACTCATCAATTTAACCCCTTTTGAACGAAGACCACTGACTTTTGTCTTCAAAGCTTCAGAGACTTGTTCAGAGCTAATTGTAACATGTAGTTGTATCACAAATGATTTTTGTATACCTATTCAGTAATTTAGTGCTTCTAAGACAGTGTGGTTGAGATACTGTGCATGTTCTAATTTTTATTTTTTGTTTATTGTATTGTTTATTGACTATTGTATGATAAACTAGACGCATAACTGCATGAACTCGGGCTTACTTAGGGTGCATTTAAATTGGCAATTTTTGTGGCAATTTTCTAAAATTTAATTACTTTTGTCTTATCCTTCTGAATAAACATCTGCCAAGTCCATCTTGGTGCCCTTAATAAAACTTTAGAAGTCAATTCTTCACCATTCTTTACTATGGTGGAAATCATTTAAATCTCAACAGAATTTGTGGTATGCAGTAATATTGTATGTAGTGCGCTAAATGCAGAAATAATGAAAGACGATGTATCATTTACACGCACAATATGTAAATCAAGTTTAGGCAAGGAAAAGATCTCTCTGCTGTGGGTCTCTATCGGGCCAGGGTACCTACTGGATGGATAGTGGTGGCAATTTGTTACTTGTGCACTTGTATTACAATGTAAGCCAATACCAGTTGACTTTCATTAAATAGCAAGAGGGAATAGACATATTTTGACCTTTTTGTGGGTTTAAAAATACATGTCATACAGAAAACTGAAAACCACATCAAAAACCCTGTGCATTCACTATTATTTCTTACAAGATTTTCGAGAAGTGATTTGCTGTCAACTGAATCAGACTGCACTGTAATCACTTTTAAGATCTAAACTTACTTCAGTTCCACAAACATCAACAGTTTTTGGCATATCATCTAACGGTAAATACTTGTTCAAAGATGAATTTTTGTATAATCTTTTGCCATATTGAATAACATTAGATAAGGTGTTTTAATTCCAATAACTACATGATTTTATTACAGAGTAGCAGTGAATAAACAGCCACAGCACAACTCACATTGAACTTTCTGGTTTCACAGGCATGACTCTGAAAAAGGGTACTATTTTGAACTTTACTGAAGTTAACCCCTTTCAATTCAAATATATCATTGTTATTTATACTCTGAAAATAATGTACTAAGTTATTCAGTGATGATACTTCAAGCAGCACACATGTACCTTGAGGATGGCTTCTACCATAAATATCCCTTGCATGAGAATCAAATATATTCAAGCCCACATTACCTTTATAATAGATAGCAACTGCAGTACATCCTATTTTCAAGACAAAATTGTTGAAATTTTTGGATATAAGTGATTGAAAGACTCTATCCAAGGAGGTACAGTACTGATATCCTTCTACTGTAACTTCTTGATGAATAGTACCAGTGTAGCTCTCACTGTATTGAAGTTCATAGTCAGTCACATTTAAAAGTGTGGGTAATTCTGTCTGCATTAAAAATGATTGTCTGGTTAACTGAGACAAACTTTAATACAACTGATTTCCAATAGTCATTATTGACACAAGATCATTAGCAGAATTGATTCCTTGTTTGTTATTGTAAATCAAAGAGCATAAACTCATTGTGACACATTGTTGTCCTGAATTCTGTCCAAATACCAATTCATTAGCTTGGCTATGTGGTGCCATTATTGTTTTTCTAGGGTCAATGTACATTGGAGTAGGACCAAGGTTTTCCTCTTTATCTGAACTCAGTTGAAATTTACAACAGTTTGATGCATGTGTCTGACTCTTATAAAGACACATGGGTCTATTACAAGAAAACATTGATAAGTACCTACTTGCTCTATACTTCAATTTAATTATCCTTTGATATACCCTTACAGAACAATTCAACAAATACTTCTTATCATGTTTTGTAACTTTATTTAATCTTACCCTCTTTGAATTAAGCTTACAATCATTCTTTGTAACTCTTCTAACCTTCACATAATGACGTAGCCAGGAGGACTTCGGTATGCTTGGACAAATACGCTCATAAACAAACTCCTTCAGTTTTCTGCCTTTTCTTCTGTGACGTTTCAGAGTAGCTTCTGGTATTCTACTGGGTTTTTGATCACGTCTAAATACACGATTGTGTTTACATGTAAACATAATATGAGATAACTCATTTGATATAGCAGGTTTCACTTGATATTTCTCGATAAAAGGTTCACTTGTAAAGGATCACTCGTAAATTGATCTCTCGTAAAGTTCGCGGACCAATCTGTTCCCAAAACGCTCCACAAGTTTTAGTGTGGGTCTACCGCGAACGGTGTGTGACTTTGTATGTATATTGGGCATAATAGCCATCAAATTTTCTTCGTGTACATCAAGCCAGGAATTGTCCTCAAGAGCAGCCATTGCTTTAAACCATGTGCTCTAAGGTTCATTCTACACATGCACACACACTTCACGCATGCGCTGTAGTGGAACTGTGTTTTGTGACTGAATGGAAAAAAAAAAAATGAAGCCGCATTTATACCCCGAGGTATAAAAAGGGAGGTTTCATTTTATCTGACCTGAAATTATTGATCAAATATCTCAGTCATAAAAGACTTACACAGGTTTTTTGGTTGAGACTTCCATTCAGCTGGTTAACACCAAGATGTCATATTTATTTCCACTGTTTCAGATTTATATTTGTGGGTCTACTAAGCTACGTGTGTGTAATGTGGTCCTAAAAGAAATGCAGAGAGAGATATAAATGAACTAGATAAGAGCTCTCTAGATGAGATTTCTCCAGTGACTATTCTGTTGCTTGGACAGTTATGTAATTACCTCCTGTCACCAACTTTCCGGGTCAATATGCTGTTATAGAGTATTACTGAATGACATCAGTTGTGTTAATTGTAGTTGCCTCTTTATTTGTTTTGTTTGTTTAACCTCTGGCTTAATTTGGCTGGCATTTGCAACTTGGTTGTTGGTTTAATTCAGTGGCAGCTATTTCCTAAGGATGACTCCTTGCAAAATGACATTGAGGAAATAGATTGAAGAAAAGGGTTGTTCTAATTCTCCACATTTCTTTACATTTTGATTTCAAAGAGAGATATCTTACAGAAAACACAAACAATTCATTCTCAGAAGTGAGGAGATATTGATTTCTCCTCACAGTTTCAACATATTGCCAAGAAGAAAGGTGTTGAGAAGTAAGTGAAGTAAGGATATTGTGTTTTTCAAAATCCCAGAGTTAAGAGTGCACTAGAGGAATTGATATTTGGATCATGGTAGTGAAAGTGGTAATGTACAACCATAGTATTTATGTTGGGCAATGTATTTGCAGGTTGGATACTTTGGTTTATGTTACAAGACTAAGAAAGGCATTGATTGGTGGATTGTATTGGAGAAATCAATAAAGAAACAGTTAGAACAGAACACTCTCAGTTCTGTTGGCAGCATCAGACTTAAGTTGAAGATTCATTTCTTTGTGACTGGTTCCTCTTGGTTAAAACTTCAAGGCAAACTGATAAGGTAATACAGAAAGAAATCTTTAACCAGAAAAGTCCCAAGATAGTTTGTATGTTCAAGTTATGTTCTCAGCCTGTCCAATCCCTTTCTTCATTATCTTTTTCTTATGAGACTAAAATCCTGTGCAAATTTGAAAATATGGCAGATGAAGAGATGAATTCTTCATTGAGAGATTTTATCTTTTTTTTATCTAGAGGATAGTTTTGGTAGTGACTTGACAGGAGGGTTGAAACAAATAAACAGAATTCTTACTGCCAATTTTGCAAGTACGTAAATACATCAATCATGTTGTGTCTTTTTTAATTCTAGGAGCTTTTACTATTTACAACTCAAAGATCAAATTCTTGAAGGGAGTCTGTCATGTGAAAAAGACTCTGCAGTGTTGCTGGCCTCATACACTGCACAAGGTGATTAGATCTGCTAGTCATGTTGAATTTATTCGTGCTTCAGTTACCATAAGGTTCTCAAGACATATAATTATTCAACTTTAATGTTTATATCAGTTCAAGGACAACATCTTTGAGAAAACTTTAACCCAATGGCTTCAAACCAACCCAATCTACATTGACTGTGACTAATACAAAGGGAAAAGGCTTGCTCTATCAATTATGAAATTATTATTATGATTATTATCTGATTCAAACTACAGTCAAATTTTTATTATCTGGACCTCGAGTACCAGAATTTTTCAATTACCTGGACTTGCTTCTCTAGTCCAATTTTTTTCCCATCAAACAAAGCTGATTGACTTTATTCCATTAGAGCTGCTTCAAAGAATGATAAAAATAAAGATACACCACTGCTTTAGCAGCTTGGAATAAACTGATTTAAATCAACGCTTGAGGTCATAAAACGTTGTTGTAAAACATTGTTGTTGAAAAATGTTTTTCTCATTAATATTCATTTTTTATTGTTATCTGGACTTCCAATTATCCAGGCTATTCAGCCTAGTCCATGTAAGTCTGAATGATGGAGGTTTGATTGTAGTTTGAATCTGAAGGCAAGAAAAAATTGTTTTGCCACAATTGGAGTAAATTTGTAAGTGGAATTCATAAAAAATGCTTTGCGCTTGGTTTTTATCTTCAAGCTTCTGTTCCTAAATAATAGTTGATGTTCAGAATTCTCTCATTTATTTTCAACAGCTGAGCTGGGCGATTATGATGCTGAAACATTTGTTACCTTTGCAGAAACCCACAACCTCTACCCTTCTGTAAGTCTTTTGTTGTAATGTAACATTTTAATGTATGATTATGAATCATTGGTATTAGCATAAGATACCCACATGAAGTTGCAAGTTGACTGTTGGAAATAATGTCTTTCAGTAAGCTGCTGCAGTTTTGTTTCATTGTGATATTGGTCAAAATTGTGTGAAACTATAACAAAATTCCTTTTCTTCCCATCCTTTTTCGGGCAGCTAAAAACTTTTTGCTTCAGCAATCATTTCATGGCTTTGCCAGTTGCCAAAAAGTGACTTTTAAAAAAATTGAGCTTGGAGGCCTGCAAGCCCCCCTCCTATGTCCAGCAGGAGTCATTTGTATTAAAATGCTCCTTACAATACCATAGAATTATCCATGAAGCAGACAGGTAATAAAAACTAGGGATATTAATTGGAGATCAGCCAACAAATTAACGAGTGGTCATTGCACAAGGGAGGTTAACACTGTATTTACTGGAAGTGTAAGAGTTTATCCAGGACAGTGAATACTGTAACAAAAAAATCTTGAACTTCATTGGTTATTAACTGCTCGATTTTCAGTACTAACAAAACAGTGCATGTATCAGGCTTGTTTCTGGACAAAGTAACATCAGTTAAAGGCCTAACTTTGTCTCCAGACATTTCTGGCATTAAATTTCTTTTCAGAAATTTGCAAGGAAAGTACATAGCCAATGATGTACTGTTCTATAGGCCTGTGGTTTCCTGGAGGTCTCCTCGCTTTACCATACTGTTGAATTTGTATTTCTGAAGTGGCTCACAAATGATTGCACAATTTACTGAAAAGCTCCCTGTATTAAGTGGACACTAAAGTGAGTCAGGTGGCTGTCTGCTTAACAAGGTTCACTCTGATTGCTTTGCAGAGTGTTGCTGCTTCTCATGCAAAGGAAATCCTTGATCAGCAGGTACAGAATTTTTTAACACACTTATGATTTTGTTTACAATTTTGAATTATACATGCTGATATATACAAACTAAGATATTGCAAGGAAAGTTATGCATCAAGTTTAGCACAGTATACATGGTAAATATGTTTTGTTTTCTATCCAATAAAGTATACTTTCATTCACTGAGCAGATGAGATCTTGAGTGAATAACTCCTTCCCAGAGAAAAAGTCTGGTGAGCTCTTTCTGGAAGAATTGTTCTGACTAGTCTTCGACATAAACTTTAATTTGAAGATACTGTTTATTGGTCTATCTGTTGCGAATGCATGAAATTTATTTTTAGGAAGATAAGGTCATTGGCTTGCATTGATATGTGGTGACAAATATTGTGCTTAAGAAAGAGTATTATTTAAGACTGCATTTCATTTCATAATTGTCACATTAATGATATGTAGAAAAACATTTGAGTCCTCCATGGTCCCACTGCCGCAGGTCTCATGATGGCTAGTTAGATTCCCTTGACCTGTGGAGATGTGTGTAGAGGAGAATTACTTGAATAAGCATTAAGAAATTGTCTATTTTGCTTTTAGGTGATAAAATTTTATAGCCATCACAGGTATGTTTGCATGTTATATCAATGTAATTTTCTTTTAATTTGTACAATCCTCAGACACAGAAAGTATGGAATGTTTATCTGTGGCTTATATGCTCAGTTAATATGTAGTTTTCAATGAGATTCTTTCTTGTATCACTTGTTAAAAATTGTGTCTAGCCTAATGTTATCCATTTGTGAATTACTGCCCCTCAACATTCTTTTTTGGAACGACTTTTAATTTTTCTTATTGTGTATTGTGATGGTCTGGCTGAGGAAAGGCATTAACATTTCAACAATTTTACTCAGATTATCAGTGACTTGCAGACCTCACTTTTTTGTTGGAATATGCTGAGTTTTGATCCTTCTGTTAAAACTTGTATCAGCCACTGACTCTGGAAAGCTGGTTTACTGTTAAACAGAGAATAGACTCCCCTCAACACATGTCAATTAAGCTACAAATGATTTTAGTCTGTGATATTTATTCAGCTTTATTATCAAATATTTAATAAAGGACCAACTTTGTCTGATTAAAACTGACCAATATTAACTTATGGCTAATGATATCACAGCTGATCCAACTAATGATTGCCCACTAACCATGGTTATCATACATGAGACCTACCATGAAAAATCTGATTGATCAAGAGCATACAAGCAATATACAATAGCTTATAAAGTTTACATGATAATGTATCATCTGCAGCTGATATTTTCAACTACTATGTTGCGTTCAAAGTCTGCATAGTATCCAATCCCCTTGTTTGTGTTGTGTTCTCAAACATTTGCAAACTTAGAGAAGTGTCTTCTTTGAAAATTGTTTAAAGAATGTAAAATAAAACAATTATTTAATTTGGTTTTGATATGATATCATAAATTATCAAACCTTCGGCCCATGTTATCCACCTCAGCCTTCAGCTTTAACAGATAACTCAGACCTGAATTTTGATAACTCATGATATCATGCTGAACATCATCCAATAATTGCTTATAACTAATTAAACTACCTATTACAGTTACAGTGTATTGTGATTTAATTGCATATTTAGAATGTCTTTTATTAATTTGTTCATTAAAATTTTTTTTTTCTGAATTAGGGGTTTGACACGTGAAGAAGCACAGCTTGAGTACATTTTGATTGCTCAACAACTGGAGGGATATGGTGATGAGTATTACCCTGCAAAGGTGAGCAGCCATTAGCCATGTAATGAAGCTTGAAGCTTCAATAAGTTCCTTCATGTTACAGGTATGATATGGTTGATTTTTTTGCGGAATTGAAGCCTCTGTGGACACAGCCAATGAAACTGATATGATTTGATTTAAAAACAGTATCTAGTCAAAACAGGTGAGCTGAGTGAAACATTCTCAGGGATGTATCAGCATCACTGTCTGGTCTGCTAACTAAATTATAATAAGAATATTGACTTTTTAAATTTTAAGATTTTTTTAACATGAACTAAAAAAGTTATGGTGAAAATTAACCTTGAAAAATTATGATACCACACAATCATTTGCCAGTAATATAGGGGTTTCGTGAAAAGGAACCCAAGCACAATTTTTTAGCCTAGTACCCTGTACCTTGTACTGTACTAAATACTTACGGGTAAATAACTAAATAGTTAAATGCTGTTTACCTATGGCCACTTATGAGACCTCCTACCGCCCTCTGTTAGCTTGCGACCAGTCTCTTGCGTTTGGGTTTTGCCTTGTACCTCTTTCTGCACACAACTGCCTATAACAACATTGGCAGCCTATTGTGAAAAAAAGTTATTGAAACCCTTGATACTGGTGTGTTGCTCTTCCCAGCTGAGGAACTAACTTAAAGCCAACTGGTAGTTTTTTAATTCCCCAAGAAAATCACCGTGTGAAGTGATAGCAATTCCTGTATAGGAGCATGGAATGACTGCATCAAAAAATTAAAGCATAAATTTTTTTAAATATGATATAGTAACATGTACAAATTTTATATTTGTTTGTAGGGTAATGATGGTTCTATCATTCTAGTTGGTGCATCATTTCTTGGCATTGTAGTTAGACATCCTCATGGGTTGCCTCCAGCATATTTCAGGTTTGATGTAACTGAAATCACTATGTCATGGTTGTGGTATCTTCAAATTTAACAGTAATGAATTGCTAATAGAATTCAATTTCAAGTTTTGAGATATATGGTAAGCTAGTTATAACCTGTAGATTTGAGCCCCATTGCTTTGTGTCTCTAAGCAAGAAATTTCACTTCAACAGTGCCTCCCTTCTACACTAGTAGGTGGGTTGAAAGGTACTTACAAACTGCTTGGGTATCTTGACCATTATTTTTCTGAGAGATTTCCTGTGATGGACTGGTATCCTGTCTAGGAGGAGAAGCAATGGAAACTGAGACATACTCTCAGTGTTTTGCTCCGTTTACTAGTCATACTTAAATTAAGCTACATTGTAGTTCACATACATATTGGAACTTGTTTCATTGTGGTACCCTATGTCTGGTATATTTCTCATTCCACACATGAGAGCTTTGCACAACATTTACCACAAGTTATAGAATTTTCCTATATCAAGGTAACCATTTTCTCTCAGACCCTTTCCCCTATTTGGAAGCCGTGCATGACTGACCCTGTCTTTCTCCCTCATTCAATTTCAGATGGCCTGATATTGTTCGCATTACTCACAACAAGAAGTACTTTTGTATTGAAAGTACCAAATCATTTGATATCATCCAATTTGAAATGGTACAGTGGTAACATATTTTTATATACATACTTTAGATAAATTGAGTAAGATGTGACTTAACTTTTGACATTTGGTTTTCTCTGACACCAATCTTGTTGCATCGTACTGGTTACATCCTACTTTGGCCAAACCCTTTAACTCAAGAAGTTCTTAACATGTAATTTCTCCCTATAATATTTAAACAATATCCAACAAGCAGCTAATTAAAATACTCAAATTTATCAGGTATAAGTTGCAGGGTTTGCACTGGTCCTGGAAAATCTGCAAATTCCTGGAAAAAGACTACATGTCACAGAAAGTCTCAGAAATCTGTTTAACCAAAGCACAATAAAGTTTTCTGAATTTAAATTTTTAAAAGATGTGTGTAGAAAGAAAGGAGAATTGATTTTGAAATATTGGGAATGAAAGGAATTAAGGTGAATTTTGGAGTCCTAGAAAAATCAATCTGATTCCTGGAAAAGTCCCTGAAAATCCTTGCAACTTGCCCTGAAGTTGTTATCTTGATCTAGCACCAAATTCTTGTAACTGATCTGTGTAAGGAAATGTGTAGCAGTGAGAGGGGAGAATTAACAATCAGATCTTGAGAGTTATAACCAGGTTAATTATCCTTTTGTAGAGGTAAGAAGGGGCCAATGTCATGTAGTGTGATAAAGGCAATTACTGCAGGTTTAACTGTCATACAATGGACACCAAGGGATATCCTCCAATAGCCACAAGCATGACTCTGTCTTATGCCCAATGTTTTATCTTCTACAGGATGATGCACCAACAGCTAAGTATGTGTGGCGGATGTTTGTAGCACATCATCAGTTTTGCCGTCTGAATTTATCCAGGTCCAGCACACGAGCATCTACAGCAAAGCACCAACCACATAACATGTAAGTATGATCAAGTGAAACATTAAAGAACAGGCATGCTTTCATGTTCACTGAAAAATACTAAAGGAAAAGGGAATGTGTCATTGGGAAAAAGTATCATTATCATAGGGAAGTGAAAAGATTGGAGGATTTCTAGATTTTGCCTTAAGAAACACACACTGGTGCAGATTTTTTTTTCTGAATTAGTTGATTAATAAGTTACCGTAAAGGGTAAAAAAGCTGACGTTTCGAGCGTTAGCCCTTTGTCAGAGCGATTGAATCTGAATCGCTCTGACAAAGGGCTAACGCTCGAAACGTCAGCTTTTTTACCCTTTACAGTGGCTAATTTACATTTTCAACCCAGTTGATAACACTTAATTACCTGCTATACTCTCCCACCGACGCAGCACCACAGTTTCTTTAGAAACTTACCCCTTTATGATTAATAAGTTAGATGGCAGAGCAGCTGAAAGTTTCAAAATTCTGCATTCTGTCTGTTTGAAAGCTTGAATTGTGTATCATTTCATCAGTCTCTGGGAGGGGTTATTTTGTAGCTGTTTCATTAACCTTAAGAGAAATTCTGAAATGCTTTCCTGACTCATCCACCTCCTCAAAGACCAGTGAAGACAGAAATCTCTGGTTTAATCTGAATGCCATTTAGGAAAAGAAAAGCAATCTTTATATACACCTTTGGTGTTAGTGGAAAACTTAGATTGATCAAGAGAGCTAAAATGTTATGAGGGATCAGCAGATCAGTACTGTGAGATTGGATTCCTTGGCCCTCTGAAATTGTACGTAACTATATCCCTAATATTAAAAGTGATAGTGGCTTGATAAGGGGTATTACCATGTATAACTTTATACTGGATATGCAGTACATTGTAGATCACATTTACCATTTGCTCGTCAATGTTATGCATGTTAAATCACAGTGACATACTGTAGGTGCACTATTTGTACCAGGTGCAAATGTCCTAAGTTCCTCGCAGTGAGGTGCATTTAGGTTTTTTCTTGAAAAGATAGGGTTTGTGCTGTGCACAGAGTGTTAACACTTGAGAGTTTTGTGATTGTGCTATTGATTTGTAATTCACCTAAAATTGTTATTACTAGTACTACCAACTTCTTAGTGGCTGTACACTGTAGTTTGACAACTTTTGCAGTAACCTTTTAAGAGTGAAGAATAGTTATAGCTTTTAGAAGTCACAGAGTTTTTAGAATTTAGCACTGAATAACAGAGCTGCCTTTTAAGACCTTTCTCAGGCCTACAAGCTCTCAGTTGTAAACTAACCTCATAGTTGCATAGAATGTGTATGCTACTCTGAATCTGTGTTTCTTTTTTTGCTTTTTGTGATGGCTATTGTTGTTGTTGGTCATAGGTAAAGTAACATCAAACAGTTCTTTACAGTGTCAAATGGTCATGTCTGATTATGTTTGCCTTATAGGTCTTGAATAGCTTGGAATATTGTCTCTGTTGCACTCTGCATTTGACTCTCTCCTTGGGACTCTCTTCTTGGTGTTGTTGTAATCTTTTCTCTCTTATTCTCCATATACTAGTCATAAATTAGCCATGGACCTCACAATAACTTCCAAGATATCTTATGTAATTATACCTTCTCACTGCTGTATATTTCCTTTTAAATTACTATTGAGGATTTACTGCTATTATCAATATAACACCTTCCAGCTGATGTATTTATCATTTCTTATCACTTGTGAACCGAATAATGTATTGACATTTGAAGGAGAAGTCATATGTTAATCACTTCTCAGAGTGCCAGGGGTACAGGTATAAAGTTTGGCTTGGTCTGGCTTTGCAGCTCACAAGTTTTCTGGATTTCTGTTTTTTCCAGTCCTGTACCATGTTGCTTTTGTTGCTCTTTCCATTGTTGGATCTTTTATTAACTTCTAAGCTGTACTTCTATTACAATCTCTGTGTGACTCTAACAAAACTCTGGTCTATCATAAACTAGAAGCACCTTCCTTCTGTGTCTTCCTTTAATGCCCCAATAAAGGAGACACCTTAATGCTAACATAGAGCGACTGTTTATCTTTTGTTCTTGCTCCACTTGACTCCTGATAAATGGGCACTTTTTACTCTTACTTCTCTTTTTTATGGACTTCTATAAGTAGCTTTGGTTTCCTTTCAGAATGTCAAAATGTCAATCACTGTCATTATCTGTCAAGAGTCCTTTTGAGGCCCACCCTCACCTAGATGATCATCTGTTACCCTCAAGTTCAAACTCTTCTCTGTTAATGTTTTTGTAATCATCAAAGGTTCCCAGTGATCTTACGATCCTGTAAATGAATGATAAAATAACCCTCACATATACAGTTCAGAAATATATAAATTAGGAACTGACTCTGAAATTCCTCCTGGCTGAGCATGCTTTATGGTGGTCGCTTGTGAAGTTTGTATATTTTCAGACTGTTAATAAAAGTTAAAGATAATTTTCTCAATAAGTGACAAAAGCATACTCCCTTTTTTTGAGAACCCCTCTTTTTTTTTTACAAAGGATGTCAAATCTGAGATAAACTAAACAGGCTGAAAGTCTAAAAAACATCTTTATTATGCCCATTTTTCTTGTGAATAATTAGTGTAAATAAAGGTTAAATATCTGTAAAACTGCATTCTAAACAGACAATAAATCCAAAGAATGGCCACATTTTGAAATTTAATTAACAGTGTGTTTTAAAGAATATTTCAGTTTGCATTCGACGTTAATCTCTTGGTGAAACCCGAATAAATTCACAGAAAACACTACATTTTGATAGTTTTCCTCTTGTTGTTCGCGTTGGTTTATTGAATTACCACACCTCATAAACGTTTCCAGACTCAAGAAGACATCCAGACTCGACTTCAAAATTGATATTTGTTTTAAGAAAATGCTTCAAATTGTCTCTTTCTACGGCTAATTTACACGTGCAATTTGGAGATGAGCTATAAGCCTCTCGCATAGAACTTGACAAAAACTAAAATTTTTTTTTTTTAGAGAAACATCGCCATCCAGTTCATGTTAAGATTTACGATTTAAAGACCACTATATCGTCTTTTAAAAGTGCTAGGGATTGGAATTGAGGAAATAAGAAAACACATGACAGAATCACTTTTTGAAACAATGGTTGCCCGACCAACCAACATTTTTGGGAGATAGCAGCTATTTAATGCGATTCTGCTAAAGCGCTTTGTAGAGCCTTATCATAAATTTTTCAACAAGCAAAGCCTTTTTTCCCATGAATATGTTTATGCCTAAGAGTCCACGTTAACGTTTCATGAAAGGTTAATAAGTGATGTTAAAACATGATGTTCATCAACAACACGTATAACAAAGCTACTGTGACGACTATGGAGGTGTAAAAGGTTTCCTAAACAGGGAATAATCTTTTCTTTTCTTCACGGAAAGAAATGCCTTGCATTAAGGTGAAGTTACACATTGGTCTCGAGTAGTACAGTAATCCATCACACTGAAAACGCAAAATCATTAATATTTCGCTAATTTTAATATCGCTCAAAGTATTGCAAAGTTCTAACAAAGCTGCTCGATCTAACAAAAAATGTCTTGAAATCTTGCCGGAGGCAAATCACAAGTTTTGTTCATTTGGAAAAAAATTTATTGCACAGTTGTCGAGTACCTCTTAGGTGCAATTTTGAGACAAGGGAAGAGAAGCGGTAAATTTATTCTCGCGTGGCGGTACAGGCCCACAGCTTCGAGCTACAGACACAGCGACTCGATCTGTTTATAAGAGGGAACAGGACTTCTACCTCGCGTTTCTTTTAAACGGAAGACTCGTGAAGGCCTTGATAACTCGGAAATAGAGCTCGTTTTCTAGTGAAACCGAGTGTGGGGTCTTGCAGCACACAATCAAGCGCCAACTTGAAAGGTTTTTTTATCTTCGCGGAGCAAAACGCGTGCCAAGTGCGTGCGCTGAATTGCCCTTATCAGTCGCCTTAAAAATAGAGTTCAGAAGCGACCGCCTTTATTGGAAATGCGCTCTGAGTAGGCTGGCTGGCTCTTACTATCAGCTTTGCTGTAATAACTTGACAGAGCTGTTTATTTTTGCAAAAGTAAAGTAATCATTAGGGTACAACTGGATGGCTTAAGTAATTATACCATTTCGCAAATGCAAAGTTTGTTAGACTGAATGAAACAGATACAGAGAATTTAGAGAAAATCGAGGAAACTTTTTGTAACACGCGTAGATTAAACTTTTTAGGGCAAAGAATGATTGGTTTCCAAATCCAACGGAGACATTTTTTTTCTCACTGGTCGCGATAAGACAGCTTTAAAGATTTCGAAAATCATAGCGATGATACCGATTAGAACGTGTACGACGAACTGTGAAAAGTAGAAGGAAAGACAAAATAGATAACGGGGCGATAGCAGAGGAACAAACACACTTAGTCGGCGGTATTTACAAGATTTACTCTTTCTGTTTAACTGCGCGAGCCATGTTGATTTTTTGATGTGAACGTCTCTGGTTTTTATCCATGTGAATCATTCCGTCAATAGACAAATTGCCTCAGGCTTAAATAAGAAAATTGTTCAATATCTTATGTCGGTTGTTAGGTCGTGTAATATACTAACCAACCTTTAATAGCAAATCCATTACTGTATTGAAACAAAAATTGACCATGTCCACGAAATGTTCTCATATTTGACAAAGTAGAGTTACTTTTTCTGCTGAGGTGCAGAAGTAAGTAAGCTTTTCCAGAGTTCACTTTATTTCCTCGGAGATGCCGTTGGTTTTTTTTTCTACGTACCTTACAAATAGAGCAAACAGAATTAACACATACAAAAACATGATAAGGAAATAAAGCAAAAAAATTTTTTACCCAGTACAGTGTCCGTGCAAACAGTGAACCCGTTGTTTACTTTAAGGGAATTTTTTTTTAGAAGAATCAGTTTTTCTGGTCTTTGAGGGCTTTACAGTGTTTTTTTTAATACTTTCTTTCTTTCTATCTTTGCCAGCAATTAGAAAAATCGGTTTATTCTTGAACCGAGAATGTTTAATTGTCTTATTTTTCAGGATACTTTTTACGAAATTACAATTTTCTGAGGCAGAAGAATAAATATTCAATTAGTGATTTTTAAATGCAAAGTTGTGTCTCTGAAGTCGCCGACTGTCCAACCCACTAAACAGCGAAATAGAGGCTCTAAATAAGCTGCATATTCTCTCTGTGCTCACGTGAGATTTTAAAGGACAAGGAAACTCATCTTTTTCTAGTATGCTAACTGGTGTGGCTCTAAACACTATTGTTTCTTTTTTTCTAAGAAATAACTCTTTGACTGACAGATGCTCGTACATTTCTCGTTGGTTTCCTTGACCATCATTTTTGTCACGTGATGGTTGCCATAGCTATTTCATTGCCTGTTAGAACTCCCGTAATTGTAACTTTAAGCGCTTATTATTCAAGAACGAGATCGACAACCCCCTTTTTTAACATCAAATTGCAATCAGCAAGTCCAGGTTCATATTTTTAAAAAGCGGTTTTTATCTGTGTTGTAGGCCAGAGCCACCTTACCTTTTCGTTAATTTCCCCGTCTATGTGGGCCCCTTTTCCTGAAATGGATTTAGCTAAATTATTGTTGACGCCATCGTCTTCGCTGTCGTCATCATCGTTTCGGGCCTTAGAAATCATCCTTTGCTTCTGTTGTAACATTTGTTTGCCTTATCCTGAAAAAGATCTTTTTTGGAACATCCAACAGAAGCAAACTCTCCTTTCATCGTTATCTGAAGCTTTACCCTTAAGCTATGAACATGGTTAATTCCTTCTCAACAATTTGTGAAAGCATCTCTGTCTCTAGTCTAGATACGAATCTGGGTCACTGTGTAAATTGTCAATTTTTGCTACTATCATTTGCAACGAATACATAGCTTCAGCTTTGAAGGCTTCTCTCTGCCATTTCTATGCGGCGCCTAAATGAGTACGTTTTTTTTTTATATTGTTTGCCGCCTGTTCCTTCCTTTCACGACAAGCTGGCGTCCTGATATCGCTGTGGAAAGTCATATTGGATCACCCTGGCCTTGACCTAGCCTCCCTGAAGTTAGAAAGAGGGTGGCGCTAATTCAGAATTAAAAATTAAACTCATTTTTAGCATCCCTCGTGTAAAAGCACATGTTTGGAGAAAAATAGTTTGCGACATTTACCTTAGATTGATACGAATAAGATAAAAGTAAAAATGTAAACTGTAAATCGCTCCGCAATACTATACAACCGAAACAAAAATTTAGAATATCGTCGGACAACCTGGCCCTGAAGAAGGAGGAAACGAGAGTGTGTGTCGATAGTTGATCCCCAAACTGATAGTGAATCTATTGTCGACACAAACAGTTCGTAAATTGAGCAAAGGCCCCAATAACGTGACCGAAATGGAATAGCTAATGTGAAATGATATGCATTAGGAACTAGCCAAGCAAAGAGCGCAATGCGCTAAACCGTTTCTTTTTAAAAATTTAATCCATAAATTCGAATGTCTTAAGCACGGCTAAACCGACAACTGTAATGAAGAACAAAACCAAAAACCACAGATTTTGATTTCAAAAACCGAAACTTTTCCCAAAAAATGACCTAAAGTGGAAAACCGAAATAGCCAGCCATGCTAAAGTTATTTTCCTCTATACTGTAACAACTTGTGAGTTTATCTATTTCAGCCAGCGTTACATTTGACAGGTCCCAGTAGACCTAGAAGTGCAATCCGTTTTATTGGTTTTTGTTGGTTTATGTTTGTCTGTCTGTTTGTTTTTTCAGTAGACTGAGCAAACATGAATTCAAGAAGAAAACTGGAGTAAGTAATTTTACGGGGCTTCTTACAGGATCTGTTAGTACATTTTTCTGTATATTTATTCTTCTGCGTGTTTAAATTTCTGTGTTTGCAAAATAATTTATATTCCCTATGTATTGAGTTCATCCTACCAAAAAAGTAGATGAAGTACTGGTACGTTCGCAGGAATTCTTATACTATTGGTTTTTGTTCCTTCTTTGCAGGTTGTTGCTAGCAGTGATGGAAGTGGATCACTAAGCTCATTTAGTAAGTGATATTCACAAAATTTTTAAAAATCTTACCCTTTGTGTTGGCATGTCAGACCAAGAGATGAGAAGATTTTAGACTAACTCCTTTGTCTATTTAACGAAGAAGTATTACCTTGCGCCGCCAGTCTGAAGATGTTTACCAAGTTATTACCTTCGAGAAGGATCATGTTGCTTACTCATAAATTCACTTCTCAAAAATGATAACTGAAAAGGTCAAGCACTTGATATTAAACTACCTAGGAAATTCATACCAGCACCCAACTTTCCTTTGTCATCTTCCAATGTTTCATTTAGTCAGCTTTTGTTTAATTCAAGTTTAAAAGTTTCATTTTAAACATACCAGACTGTCTGTAGAAACAGACAATTTTACTCAATCATTTCTTGGATGATATGAGCTACTTCGACGTCAAGCTTTAAAAGTGCACTTTATGGATCATGTATTGTTTTCTCTGTGAGGATTATTTTTCCAACTATTTATTTTTATGTAATAGTGTAGTTTGACCGTCCGGGTGAGTGTAGTCCTGAGAAGGACTGTTGTCGGTAGTGGTGACTGCTTACCCGACGAGCGCAATTAGTATGTAATACGACAGACAGCTTATCCGACGAGAACAAGTACCTTAACCGTGTTTTTTCAAAGAACAACTACAACGAAGACTTTATCCAACGTAACACTCACAGACCTACTACTACAACCGAAGCTAACGTCAACGCAATTCATACGACCACAGCCACTATACCATTCATAAAGGGCATATCTGAGAACATCTCACGCATCCTACAACCATTCGATATCCGCGTCGCTCACAAACCTATTACCACACTACGTCAGTTACTGACTAACATCAAAGACAGAGACGAACCGAGGAACAGACAAGGAGCAGTATATAATATATCAATTGCTCCGACTGCCACGCCTCCTACATCGGTGAGACTGGCAGAAACCTCGCAACTAGACTGACTGAACACAAACGAGCGACGAGGAAAAGCGATGTCAACAATCACATTGCTGAACATCACCGACTAACGAACCACACTATTGACTGGGACTTTGCGCAATGCCTAACCTACAGCACCAACTACTTTCAACGACTGACCCTGGAAAGCTGGTTTACTGACTTGGAACAGACTCCCCTCAACAGGCGTTAACCACTACTGGCACCATACAAACGACTCATCCACGACATTAACATTGCAAACGAACCGAACAGAACGACCTAACTTTACTAACGGATCCAAACCGACCAATCACGACCGACCTACGCCACTTGAGTCTTACAGCCAATAACATTACGGCAAAACTGACCAATTAGTGTACACAAACCGGACTAAGTACATTCGACTGGCAACAACCTTTCACTTGACTCTGATGATGACTTCCGCTCAGGTTGTCGAAACGTTAGTCACCACTACCGACAACAGTCCTTCTCAGGACTACACTCACCCGGACGATCAAACTACACTATTACATGTTACTCCCGGGTTCAAACCATTTACTGTTTTTATGTTTTAATCGTTTTTGCCATTTTGAAGAAAGTTCATTTGCCTGTGCCGTTCAGTTGATTTAATGCTTCATGAATTTGGCCAGAGAAGGACTCTATTTTCAGTAGCGATGAATTCGAAAAAAAGATCTTTATCTTGGCTGCCTGCAATCTGGACAAATGGAACCATATATTGTAAACACAAAGAGCACATGGTTTTTGATAAGTTAAGTCTGAAGGCATTCTTGGTTTTATTTCAGGCTCAGTGACAGGCTTAGATAATCCTGTTTTCACTGAACGCAGTGGTACAGGCTCTGACACTGATACAAGATACAGCGGCATACAACACAAGGATAACACTGACTGTGTGTCACGTGACTCCTCAAATTCAACCAATCGCAGCACGTTGCCCAGACCTCATTCTCTAAACTTGTCTTCAGTGAACAGTGGACATGAGTTTTTACTTCGTGATGGCTTTTGTACCTCACAAAACTCTCTTGATCACAATCGAAGCCTTTATAGCCATGGATTGTTAAACGGCGCAACAGTGACTAATGAGGTGGGAAGCTCACTGTCTATGGACTCAGGGAATCCCCTTGGGACACAGTCACTTGAGAGCTTGAATGACAGAAGTCACAACACCCCGCCTTCTAACGCTTCGTCGGACCAAGCCTGCTCTCCAAGCGTTCGTGTGTCAAGGTGTGTGGCTGGAAAGTTATGTTATACTGTAGTTATTGACATCAGAAAAAAACTACATCAACTAAAACAAAATCCATTCAACCAGTAAACAGACAGAAGAAACAGATGGATTTCTAAAGCAACAACAGACGTGTCAGTGTAGGAGCGTCCATGTCTCCGTTGTTAATGGTTCTCATCTTTGGTAGACTGAAAGGCCATTTGAATCAAATATAGTGCAAGAATTCAATTCAATTCAAATCTAGTGCAAGAAAGACTTAGAATTGTCCCTAGGTGCTTGAATAGCAAGACCTTGGTATAAATGGTTATTTAAATTGTCCTTATTTTATTTCTTACATTTTCTGGTCTTTTAGAGTATTTTTCACCCTTTTGATTTGATGAATGTACACTGACATAATTTTTGGGTATAATAGTTATGTAAAAACATAAAAATGTTTTGAGCATCAAAATTTTTCACCCTCTGCATACGCCGGTTTAGAAGAATTTATGATGATAATAAACACTACTTCTCAGCGAAGCTTGAAATTTACAACCTGAATCTTGGTCACGAACCTTTGATATAAACTGTTTTACTTTAGAGTTCAAACTGAAGAGATTTATAATCTTGATATGTAATCTCTGTATAACTTCGAGTGAGTTGTAAGTGAGTGTGTTATATTCCAGACCAGCCCGTCCAGTTTCTCTTAGTTTGGAACAGTTAGTGGCAGACAATGCAAGTGAAGTGACTGGCCGAACCAGTGGATACAGTACATCAAATGACTCAGACCTAGAGGAAGGCAGGGATATGGAATATGAATGTGGCAATGAGTTACCTTTTTCTCGGGAAGCACAGGTATAGATGCGATTAAGCACACCATTAATGTACTTATTCAGTATTTCTGTTGAGTATCACAGCGCGAGGCTTTTTGTATCACATTTTAATAAGGTGAAAGAATGGAAAATTGAAATCGAACTAAGAAAAACAATAACTTATTTATGATTTCTCAGAATTGTTTAATTTAATTGCAGCTCGAGGAATTAGAAAAAATCTTCAACGAAGGACAAGTATTCACAGAATTTCAAAAGGTCGAACGGAGAAGTGAGGTAAGAACGCTATCAACTGATTGATGCCATATGCAATCGATCGGTTATTGTCTGATTTGAGTGGCCTCACTAATCAATGTTAATCATCACTTTATAAATACAACAATACAACCGTTCCGCTAACACAAGGACTAGCCTTCCTCTCCTTATAATTATCCTAATAAATAGATGAAGCAACATCTGTACTTTTCTTCCGGTGTTTGGGCGTGATCAACAATCGCGTAGTTTTGCTCATAATTAAGTGTAGGCCATGCGCGGATTCTGAATGAATCTCGTCGTTGGAGTAATTTATTGCCTTCTGGTCTGTGTGGGTTTTGGTGGGTACCCCATCATATTTGTGCTAAGATCGCTTCTCTATCGCTATTACTATAACCCCTATTTGAAATCACAAGATGAAAGATTTACTTTTTGTTGTGGCCTTTACTATGTATGTTAAAGCTCGCTGTGAAGTATGGTGAATAAGCCTTAATATTGCAGAAGCTAACATCTGCCAGTGCCCAGTGCGGTGGGAATGCAGAGAAAAACAGATATAAAGACGTCATTCCCTACGAGGTAAGACGAGCTGTGTTCGGAACGTGCAAGGTTTTCTTTGATGGAAATAATTTTTCTGAGAATAGAGGGTGCTGGCGTTTTACAGATTGAACTCTCCAGTTATTTTCTGCTCGATTGATTGTTTCTGTCTTATCTAAAAGGAATCTCGAGTCCGTTTAAATCCTCGCAACAATTCAAGTGGCAGCGATTACATCAATGCAGACTATGTCAAGGTAAGAACTTTTTGAGTGTGCCAGCACCTCAAGACGTGTTTTTCGTATTGTTTGCGCTGTGAAGGCATTAAAGCAGGAGCAGTAGCTTATGAGTTGAACTAGAGTGCAATCTCAAACTGTGAAGGCCGGTGAGGACGCCATGCGCGCGTCAACAACGATACATTATTCATTTTATTTTGACGAATTAATTTCACACGCGGTAATGGTTGTAATGGTAGTAATGGATTGGTTCTCGTTAAGCACATTTTATTCTATAGAGCAACATCTCGTTATTTACCTTGTAGAAAATCTGCCTTGTGTGTGGTGTTCGTCATAAGGCCATATCTAACCTCTCTGTTCGTGTTGTAATCTCATTGCAGGAGGACGTGGGGACTAAGACCTACCGTTACATTGCCGCCCAGGGCCCCATGGAGAACACAGTGGCTGATTTCTGGCAGATGGTGTGGGAGCAGAATGTTACAATTATAGTGGCTGCAACAGACGACAAAGTAGGGTATACATTCTGTCTGTTGACTTCAGTGCACAGCAACGTAAGCCTGTGCTTAGGGTTTATCCGAATTTTCTGTTAGAACAAACGACCCAAAAAGTGAGGTTAGCAAAGGATTTCTTCATGACACCTGAAAAGGGTAATTGTGGATAAATGAATGCGTGTGAAGCGTAAATTGTTGTCTGAACCGTTTTTTTAATCGTAGTTCTTGCAAACAAAGTTTCTTTTAAAGGTTTTCTCGACCGTCCACTCCGTCGATTTAATGAGTGTATATTTTCTGGGTAAAGTAATACTTAAGATATGCTGACGCTGAACGGTAAATGTTAAAAAAAAAAAAAATAAAAATAATGAAATGAATTTACTTCATCATGTCCACCACGTAGTTCTTCATCTGAAGTGACTGCCTAATTACAGTTGGAATATATATACACCGGCACTATAAATGAAACATTCTGTTTCTAGGACCATGGTGTAGTGTACTGAATCAGTTCAGTTTCTTTCAACAGGTTAGCAGCAAGACTACGTGCTATCCTTACTGGCCAGAGGACTTGGATGGGAGCCGAAAAAAATTTCATTGTTTTGAAGTGGAAACAGTTTCTATCCGGATTACATCGTCATTCAAGGTGCGCAAACTATCGCTACATATGGCTTCTTCAAAGGAAAAGAAAATGATTTGTCATTTGCACTTTACTGATTGGCCTGATCATGGAGTACCACAAGATCCTAAACATTTTCTTGGTAAGTACACTCCTCTTGCATATGAAAAACTAAACGAAATGGCTTTTCTATTCTTGCCATTAATATAGAACTGGTCAGGAAAATGAGCAAATCAGCCCTACGACCAATACAGTAATACCTGAATGTGTAGATATATTAGTGATGATAAATCTGGTGTACATGAACTATGGCTGCTCAAAGTAGACTATAGTAATATTCAATTTTCCGAGTCAAGAGGAGGATGTTTACATGACGGGGTTATTTTTTTCCCACACACAGGATTATACAAGAATTCGGTCCAGCCATTTAACTCGAAAAATGTCTGAGGCCATTTCTGAGTTGTGATTGTGAGCGAAAATTCCCTCCTCCTATCCATCATTCTATAACTCTGTCACCCCTTCCTTCCATTCCTGTTAACTCTTCGATAAGTCTGCTGACTAGTGCATAAGGCTTTTGCATGTTCAGTTCTTGCGTGAGGCTCAACTGATGGCTGAGAATTGGTCAAAATTTTGACAGTCTGCTGAGAAACAAGGCGTATTTAACTAATAGCTGAGATCTAAGAACAGCAAATTTTACTGAAGGATGAAAAATGGGCTGAAATTAAGACTGTGGGTGCATTAGATTTGTACATATTTGTCAGATAAGGCGCTTGGATAAATATACTTCTCAAGAGCGATAAGCCATATGACATTTCAGTATTGATAGGCTTTCCGTATAAACCTTGTTGATCCCGAACGGGAGAGAGTTTGTGGTAATTACATCACTGTTAAATGTCGCATTTTAAAGCAATGTCGAGAATTGTCTTTGTTGAAAAAAAAAAAAAAAAAAAAAGCTACACTCCAGCAATAAGCTTTGATGTTAAATTTCCCCTATAATGATACAAATTTAGGACCATTTCTGTCAGATTGCTCTTGTATAATAGTACTGAAAGTTAAAAGAATATTTCATTTGTGTTCAATGTTAAACATCCACTGTTTCCCATGTTCCAAAGACGATTTTGATTTGCCACTAATCACGTGACCTTGCATAAATTAAAATGTATCCTTCCTGGGATACAATTTTGACTCTCGGGAAAACGAAACTAAGTGTTTCCCAAGTTTATATTATGTGGCACATACATTTGTCTGTTCGTTCATCGCTAGTTTGTTTTTACTTTGTGTGGGGAACAGAATTTCTGGATGAATTAGAGTCTGCAAGGCAACAGGTCAGCTCAAACCATGGTCATGCGCAGGAAGTTCAACCAGTGTTAGTTCATTGTACGGCCGGTGTTGGGAGAACTGGGGTCATTATACTTACCGACCTTATGATTGGCTGCTTACAGAGTAATCAGGTTGGTACACCGTTACCTTAATCCCATATAAATTCCTAGTCAAATTGCATAATTAGCAGATTTATTTTGTTTCTAAAGAAATACAAATCATGTCGCAAATGGACGTGAACTTGAATCAGAAACTAAGCCATTAAGTAGATATGGACCTTACAGAAGAACAGTGCTTGTCGAGAAGACTGCGACACCCTATCCTTTTTTTTTTTAACATTATCTTAAATTTTACCCCTCCCCCCTCCAATGCAGGCGCCTTTACTCTCCCCGTCCTTAAAACAGGATTGGTCTTTTCCTGTTCTAGGTTTCAACTTAGGGCTGCCTGCCTTGTTTTTCTGATATGGAGAATAATTGGTGCGAACAGTCTGGAACATCTTGTCAAATCTCGTCCTGTCGAACGACTCGGCAGTCGGAATGGTAGTTTATAAGAGTCTGATAGACTTACATCAACGGTCAAACACCCATAACGTATAAGCCTAGCCCAAATCATATTATGTTTGCTTCTTTTCTTGCAGAGAGTTAACATTCTTAAGTCACTGATCCATCTCCGAAGCCAAAGGATGCTGTTAGTGGCAAACTTCGGTCAATATCGGTTTGTTTACACCGTACTTATACACTTCCTCAAAAATAGCAGACTGATATAAACTTGGCAAGGTAGATGAAGAGTCAGTCAGCGGTGGCATACAGACAGACTTCAGCTGGTGTCAGGAACACCAAAATACTCACCCTCAACTTCTGGGCCCGTAAACGGCAATTTTTTTCAACAAAAGAACAGGCATCAGAAAAATGGACTTAGGGTTTTTTAACATGTCGTGGCATAAGTGGCCGCCCAGAACAGTGCGTTTTTGCATGACATATTATAAAGGCATCGTCGCAGTATTAATGTATGGTACTTAAACGAATTGTCCTATCTACCAGTTTCATGGTCATTCGCTGAATATACGGTATACGTTATCTTCTTTGTATTCAACAACAGCACGTATATAAATATAAATATTAAAATACTATTTTCAATGCAAATTTTACGGCAAAAAACATATTTTATGTAATGAATCTTTTTATGTATAAATCCTATCAAGTATACCTCGGTGGAAATTTTTACTCTATCCATCTGTATTATAACGTGAGATATACCTCTTTTCATGCCGAGTATACCTGGAAAAAAAAACTATTTTCAAATGAAAATTTTGTAAATGAAAATCTCCCACTGTACTAACTCACCTGACATGCAATGTGTTTTAAAATGTAAAAATTCAAATTTTTTCTAAACTTTAACAACTATTAATGCTATAAAAACAATATAAATGTGCCAATAGATTAATATTTAACAATTGGTTCATACGTCAGCGTGCGTTCATCGAGATGTGAACCAATTGTTTTTATAACATTTTCAACCCGATGGAAAATTTTTTTTGCTCGAGGGATTTGTTTGCTGATGTCATGAGCGTGCACAATAGGAATATGAAGCACGCTCGCGCAATCGAATTTGATTAGACAAATTTACTAGCTATGTTATAAAATGAATTGTAATATTTTAAAGGAGTGTATCTTTTAATTTAATTTCAATAAACAATAATCAAGCTTCAGTTGTAACTCACAATCGCACGTTTCTTTTATGTTAATACGGTTTTTATGTAGAATTTCCTGGTTATTTTTATTTATTTTATTTTATTTATTTATTTATTTATTTTGGCGTTGGTATGGTTTTGAGTGCTCAGTAGTAGTAATAAACTTCAGAGCAGTAGAACTTCTAAGAAGGCCGAGAGAAACCATAAACTGGAGCATGGAGCGAAGAGCAGTTGTTTACTCCTCTTGCGGAACACAACTCCATCGAAGGTGATCCCCAGTACTTTCTCAGGTTTCCCTTGCATTGTTATGACCTATCTATCCTTTTCAGTACAGAGGGCATTGTGAGAGTAAAGTTTTTTCCCAGGTAGACGCTCAGACCGGTTCATCCAGCGTTCAGTGCGCTAGACACCAGCTCACTGCGTCTTCTATAGGATTTAATTTCGGTTTTTTACCGTCTGATATACCTACAAGTGCAGCATTCACGATGCCATTATTTTGAAAATTGCAGTAAAACTGATTCTTCTTGAAAAAAAAATTGTTTTGACCTAGTATGCTTAGCTTTTCATTTTTTGCAGACGGGCAGTTTTGGTGGTCTAGTTAGCTGCTATTTGTTAAAATGGTCTTCGTAAAATCATGAATAAT